GCCAGGAAAAGCCCTGCCAAAAAATAGATCCGTGGCGCCGGCAGCGGCTCATAGACCGTCGTGGGTGTACTTCATGTTCAGGGACTAAACTTTATCAGATCCAGTTATGAAAAAGGAAAAAATTCCGTCTCGTTTATGATTTTTCCGAAGTTAGTAGTGTGCGACAAAGTAACTCAAGGCAGCAAAGGTCCCCCCCACGGTAGCCTTTAGGTCCAATCGGCTAGTAGGGGACACAGTCCTCCCCGGCCTCACCAGCCCTCCACAAGGGTCATTCCCACAAGCACGCACCTTCCTGCAGGGAAGTACCAGGCGGCCCAGGTCATGGGGGGTGGCGAGGAGGAGGAGGAGGAGGAGGGGAAGGTATCGCACCACATGAGCTTCGAGGGATCGCTTGCTTTCAAGTGTCTCCTTCATCGCGTCGAAGTCTCGCAGGCTTCCTTGCAGTCGGCTGATCTTGCCGTTCAGCTCCTCCTTCTGCGCCTCCAGTCTCGCGAGCTTCTCCTTCAGCTGCTCCTCCTCGGCTTCCCACCTCCTCCTCTCACTTCTCGCCTCCTCCTCTCGCCCCTTCAGCTTCGCGGTCTCTTCCAGCAGCTTGTCTCTCACCTGCGCGATCTCCTCTCGCGCCCTCCTGCTGACCTCGTGCTGGGCTCTTTCCACCCTCAGCTCGTCTGCTAGATTCGCATTTTGCAGCCGTAGTTGCTGCGGGGGGAGAGTGAGGGAGAAAAGAGAGGAGAGGAGAGGAGAGGAGAGGCGAGACGCGACGCAGAGAGTAGAAGAGAGGAGACACGTGTTTTTCAGCTACCTGGGAGGTTCTCTCCTCCTCGACGACTCGCTGCTGTAGCCTTGAGAACTCGTTCTCTTGGATGTAGAGCTTCTCTTCCAGCTCAGCGATGATCCGTTCCATCTCGCTTCTCTTCCACTCCTCCTCCTGCCCTCTCGTCGCCTCCTGGAGCTCCTTCATCTCCTCGTGGCTTCGCTTTGCCTCCTCCACCTCACGCCTCATCTCCTCCAGGTTCTGCTCGGCTGCCACCAGCATCTCCGACTTGTCGCGCAGCCGCGTCAGCATCTCGTTCATCGAGCTCGTCAGCTCCTTGTTCAGCTTCCTCGCCTCCCCCAGCGCCGCGTAGAGCTGGTTGACCTCCGCCCTCAGCGCCTCCTCTTCGCTCCCTCCTGCTTGCGCGACCTTCCAGCCTGAGTCCGCAGAGCATCAAAGAAAAAACACCAGGAGTAGGAGGAGGAGTAGGAGGAGAAGTAGGAGGTAGAGGAGGTAGAGGATAGCACCTGGCGGAGTCTTACTGGAGCCAACCGAGAAGCTCCTGTCGAAACTAGTCGACTGTTGTTTGATCTCTCCCCTTTCAGCCCTCACTGCCGCAAGATCCTCCTCTTCCTCTCTCCTCCCTTTATCCTCTTCCTCTCTCCTTCGTTTATCCTCCTCCTCTCTCCTTCGTTTATCCTCCTCCTCCCTCCTTCGTTTATCCTCCTCTCCCCTCCTTCGTTTATCCTCCTCCTCCCTCCTCCTCCTCCTTTGCTCTTCTTCCTCGTCCCTTCGCTTCTTTTCCTCCCTCATTCTGTCTTGTTCCAGTTCCTCTCTCCTCTCTTCGTCAGCCTTTCTCTCAGCTTCTCGCTTCTCCTCATGCCTCCTCCGCTCTTCCCAGCTCTCCTCTTTCGTCCTGTCCGCCCCGTGAGGAGGAGAGCTTGTCTCCTCTCGCTCCGTCAGCAACTTAGGGGAGGCGCGAGGCGAGAGGTTTGTGCTGGGGTAGACTGAAGTTGAGTTCCCTTCTTCTGAGGAGAGAGACCTCGACCGCATGCCTCTTCTCCATCCCTCTCCTCTCCTCCCGTGCTCCTGCTCCTCCTCCTCACTCTCCATTTGCAGGTCAGGAATCGTGACAAAGTCTCGCTCCTCCCTCCTCTCCCTCCTCCTCCATGATCGCTCCATCGACATCTCAGCGACGCTCGAGCTGTCGAAGTCAGAGGTCTCGCTGAACACGTCCGCACTGTAGAGGTCTGCCAGATAGTCACAAGCAGAGCATGACTGAAGATGCTGAGCAGGGAGGGGAGGGGAGGGGAGCAGAGGAGGAGGTCAGGAAGGAGAGTGAGGTAGCAGGAGACCGGGCACGTAATCGTCAGTTTCGTAGATGCCTGCCAACAAGTTAGAGAGGCTGGAGGAGCAGGAGGAGGGGCATGACTTGTCTTGCTCTCAGAGAAGGCGGAGCTTGCTACCTTTCGACTCGCCTGATACTCTTCAGACTCTCTCGTGACTTCGAGGCATCGGACCTGCGGAAAGTCAAGGAAGGGCAAGCGAGTGAGGGAGAGATGTAGATCAAGGATGACGATGACGATGACGATGACGATGATAACAATGATGATGATGATGATGATGAAGAAGAAGAAGAAGAAGATGATGATGATGGAGATGATGATGATGATGATGATGATGATGATGATGATGATGATGATGGAAATGATGATGATGGAATGATGATGATGATGATGATGATGATGATGATGATGATGACGAGGAGGAGGAGGAAAAGCTGACAAGGTTTCCCGTCTTGTTGGAGCTGAAGGTGAGAAACACGCGGGAATTCGGGGGCCCATCCAACATCCTTAAGAGTCTGTCCGGGGGGAGACCTGAGAGACTCGTCAAGGTGGTAGACGAGAAGCTCGCAAGACCTCCGACTGCCTCCTCGTCGATGTGCGTCATCGTGTCTCCCGGTAAGATGCCCTTGGCTGCCACCGAGCCAACCTTGTGCTTGATGTGCGCGACTGCCGGCTTGCTCAAGGGACGCTAGGAGAGCGAAAGGGCCAGAGGGGATGAAGGAGGATGGAGCGAGAGCGAGGGAGAGGATGAATGAAGAGGAGCAGAAGGAGGCGAACCTTTCCATTCTCCGTTGACACTCTGAAACCCAAGACCTACCGACGGGGCCTCGTGGATCAATCCCTCCTTGATCTGCGAAACCCCTTCATCCCTCCAATGCCAGCACATCGACCAGCTAGCAGGAGAGGGCGAGGCAGGAGAGGGCGAGGCAGGAGAGGGCGAGGCAGGAGAGGGCGAGGCAGGAGGGGGCGGTCAAGAAGTGTGGGGAAGAGGGAAGGGGGGAAAGGGGAAGGGGAGGGGAGACATTGATGATGAAGAGATGGGGAAGGGGAATGAGGAAGGAAAAGGAGATCGAGTGGAAGTAGGATTAGGAGTGGGAGGAGGAGGAGTATAATCACCTTGATGAATCCAGCATGCATAAGGTTGGGCTCTACCTCATGAAGAAAGAGCCCAGATGAGATGTTGACTTGTACATTGCCGTTGGTGGTGTCCTGACGACAGCATGAAGGCGTTAGTCTACAACAGCTTCACGTTCTCCCACCAGGTCGATGATGGCGCTGCGATCGCTCGGCAGTCGCAGCAGGCTCGATTCCTGACAAGGCATGAGGAGACGCAAAGAGCTGGATCTTGTCGGTCTTACTCTCTCCTCCCACTCGTCCGAGATCTTCTTTTTCATCCTTTGCTGCATCAAGACGCCATGTACCCTGTGCGATATCTGATCACCTGAAGTCCGGTACGTCCGACCTCCCCCAACTTGTTCCTCTCCCTCCCCCTTACTCTCCTCCTCTCCTCCTCTCCTCTCCTCCTCTCTCCTCCTCTCCTCTCACTCCTCCCTCCCTTGCCATCCTTGCATGGCCATTTAGCGACTGCCGTTCAAAGGAAATTTTGACTTGTGACAAGCACCCTCATCCCCACTCATCCCTCTTTTTGACGACAGACGCTGGACAGACGCGTCCGAAGACCTGCGTCAAGACGGACTCCGACGACATTCTGTCGCAATTTTTCTTTCATCTTCTTCACAAGCTTGGCATGCTTGACCTGACTCCACCACGTCAGTCTTGACGGGGAGGCTGACGTGGAGGCTGACGTGGAGGCTGACGTGGAGGCTGACGTGGAGGCTGACCTCAACTTGACTGACGTCACGGCGTTGAGACTGACGTGAGGGCTGCTGGTTCAGATAGACGAGGCGAGAAGGCGAGTGAGCTATCAGCCTCATGTTCATTACCAACTTCTAGCCCAGGTTGAAGAGAAGCAGAAACGATCTAAACATGCAGACTAACTGATCCAAACCTTCATGATTTACTGCACTTTGCTTGACAGAGAGTGCTAATGTAGCAAGGGTGCAATTATTCAGTGAAGTTTAGCATGAAGAAGAAATAATTTCACTTTTGCAGAGAATGGAAAATAATGTACAAGCCATTGCTGCTGCAATGGTTGCATAGCAACGATCCGATGTAGATAACTTTAAAATTCAGAATCGTCGCCGCCCATACCCATCAGAAAGTTTTCATCTTCGTCTTCGAATCCTCCTCCATCATTCTTAGCAACAGTCTCTCCCTCATTCTCTCCCTCAGCAGCTTCACCGCCCTCCCCCTCGCCTTCGCCCTCATTCCCATCCTCAGCTGTAACAGCGTCATTCAAGCAGTGGGAAGCATCAAGCAGTTGTCAACCTTGCATAGCTGCCTTTCTTCCGCCTTCAAGCAAGTCAATCGCAGTGAATTGATGTGAAGAGACCTTACCTTGCGTTTCTCTTCCATCTCGAGGATTTCCTGCATGAGCATTGCGTTAGTCAAGCTCTACCGCAACTCTTTTCACAGCCTTCACCTTCTCACGGATGGAGGGCAGCCACTCCCACTTGCACCTCTTGACACCCTTAGCCATAAACTTCAATGGCAGTTTTTCTTTCATCTTCTTCACAAGCTTGGCATGCTTGACCTGACTCCATCAATCACCCACTACCTACACAACCAACCCTTACTCGTTGAGCAATGAACAGTTTCGTCTTTGACTTGGTCCAGAAGTGAAAGACCTAAAAGAGAGAAGGAACTGTTGTTACATAAATCGAACATGGCAAAAACTGGAGAATACTGGTTTCTTTCGACCCTTTGCACTACCCTTCATTGAGATCTTTGGCCTTTGCTGCAGAGCAGGGCAAAGTCAGCTGATCGGGGAGCTATGGAGTCAAGACAGCATACCAGCTCGGGTTTCTTGATCTTGTTGAACCATCCATCTTTGGGCAGGTTGTAGCTGGGCTGCTTTTTCTTGAGCGACTTCTTCTTCTTGACACCATTACTCCCTGCCAGCGTGCGTAAGACACACGTGGACCAAGAGGTCAACTACCGAGAGAGCGTGATCGACTAGCGGATCCCTTCCGCTTGTTTGACGCTGATCTTTTCTGAGCTTTGATGCCGCCTCCTCTCAGGTTCAGTCCCTCTCCACTATATCCGAATGCGGTTGTCGTTCCGCTGGCCTCCATCATGATTGCCTTCGCTTGAGCTGGAACGTGAGCAGCCTGGAAGGGGCCGATGGAGCTTCCTAGTCCTTCCGACAGGCTAACAACTATCAGCATGCTACACATGCTCTTCAGCGCCCATGCTCTCCCTGCCCCCCTCCCTTCCATTCCCCTCCTCCCTACCATGGTTGCCACCAACCTCAAATCTAGCACCCCCTTGCTCACCACCCATCCCCCTTATGCAATCATGTACCCCAAAATTCATCATCATATACCCCTACCTAAGACTCTCAATTTACCACCTTGATTATACCACCCCTCTAAATGGATACCCCTACCCTGCCCTACCCCCATTAGTGCGCACAAGGGCAGATAGAGAAAAGATCCGACGTCCTCCGGGCCGGGCAGCGCCGGGCCTAAAGAGATGGCGGCCTGTTTACTCAAAGTTAAGTTAAAAATCAGTACGAGGACACTCCGACTACACCGTGGCACTGTGACTAGCCTGGTCAAGCCTCCTCGACTCTCCTGATTGTCCTCGTACTGATCTCACGGTCCGACAGTCACGGTCCGACACGGTGGCACCGCCGGGTGGCGCAGCGGGCCCTGGGTCACCGGGTGGCCCGGCCCGGGTGGCGCCGGCCCGGCAACTGGGCGGGAAAGGGATGGAGTGAGCGGGGATGAGGTCCATAGTTGTCTCTTTTTTTGAATGAAGGCCCAACCGCAGGGGGCTCGTGGGGGTGGGGTAGTCTTGTAAGGGGTACTTTTATGGTGTGAATAAGGGGTACATTGAAGGGAGGACGAAGGAACGGAGGGTAGAGAGTTGGAGGGAGTTGGTACCAGGACAACTGAAGGGAATGCGAAGAGATGGCTGAGCGTTAGAAGCGAGAGGAGCGAAGATGAGCCAAGACATGGCAGAGAGAATGCCGCAAGAGATGCAGAGACAGAGGAGAGGAGAGGAGATGTGAGGAGAGATGGGAAGAGAAGTGAGGAGCTGAGACGAGATGAGACGAGACGAGACGAGACGAGAATGGATCAGAGGAGAGGAGAGGAGAGGAGAGGAGGTTAAGATTGGAGGGGAAGGAAGGCAGGAGGGGTAAGACAAGGAGAGTAGGAGAGAGAAGGGAGAGGATAGAAACGTGGACAACGAAGCTGACGATTAGTATTTTAATTTTATGGCGATGGATATGTCGTGGAAACAAGCTTACAACTTTGCTTTGATCTCAGGTCTTGTTGCTGAAGTGATCAACGCATAACAATGTGGGGTGCTCGCTCCAACTATGAAAGAAAAATGGCTCAGAACTTTTCTGAAGATGTGAGACGGGCAGAGTTGGAGTCAAAGATGAATCAGAACAAGATTCTGTTCGGTCAGGCGACACAAGACGAGCGGGTGATGAACCGACGACGAGCGCGGAAGGCGGCTGAAGAGGCTCAAGAGCGAGAGCTGGAGGAGAGGTTGAAGCAAGCAGCCGTGGTAGAGAAGCAGAAAGCCATAGCAGAGAAGGAAGCAGCTCTAGCTGCAGAACTGGAGCGAAGAAAGAACGATGCTCTACGGTCTGAGAAACTCCTTGAGAAGGTCAGGGCGGAGGCTCCTGAACTTCGTGAGCTGGAGCAGCGATTGAGAGCAGCGTACATGAACCAGGAACGAAGAAAGCAGCTGCAAGAGAAGCTTGTCATCGAAGAACAAGAGCGAGAGCGACAAGCCATCGCCGATCTTCACATGGAAGCTGCTCGCATCCGAGAGATTCGGGTAGAAGAAGCGAAAGAGCAGCAGAGGAGGAACGAGGCACTTGCTGCCAAGCAAATCCTCAAGGAGCAGATGGCAGAGCAAGATGAAGCCAAGGCTGCAGCGTATGCAGAGTTCATCAAGGAGAAAGCGATGGTGGATGAAATCATCGCAAAGATCATGGAGGAAGAGAAGCAGGAAGCGCTTGCAAAGATGGCAAAACGCCAAGAGACCAGAGAATACATCCAGAGGTGCGAGGGAGTCTTCTAGAGTCTGCTAGCTTTGCTGATTGCGTGCCTTCATGGCAGGTATCTTGTCGAGAACGAGAAGATCAAAGAGGAGGAGAAACGGCGGCAAGAGGAGGAGGACCAAGCGATTCTGCGCTATGCGGAGGTCTTGTTGTCGATAGTTCCTCTGACCCTCCGTTGACTCCTCTCCTTCAGGCCGTTCGAGCAAGAGAAGGAGCAGCAGCTGCGCAAAAAGCTGCGCAGGAGGAGGAGAAGGATAGAATCTTCCAGAAGATCTCCAAGGACATTCTGCGGAGACAGGCGGAGGAGGAAGAGATGCTCGAGCTGCAGATCGAACTCGCGAACCAAGAGGCGGAGGAGCGAAGAGTGCTGGTACCTTGTCCTGCCTCTTACTATTCCTACCTGATGACGTTGACAGGCGGACAAGGCTGCTCTTGAGAAGAGATTGAGAGACAGGATGGAGATGATGGTCCGTCCTCTCCCACTTGCTCCCTCTCCTCTCTGACCTCCTTCCTACCCTCCCTCGCTCCTTGCCCTCGCTTTCTCCTTTCCTTGCTGCTCTTCCGTTTTGACTCACGGTCTTTGCCTATCTCTCGAGCATCACTGAGTTCCATGATCAGGCAGCCAACGAATACCAGAAGAAGTTGAAGCTGGAGAAGTTGAAGCAGCAAGAGGTCGACCCTTGTATCTCCTGTCTTGCACAGACTGAGAGCTCTTGCTAGGCGGAAGAAGAAGAATTCAGAAAGCGAATGCTCGCCAAGTTTGCCGAGGACGAGCGTATCGAGCAGATGAATGCGCAGAGGAGGAGGATGAAGATGCTGGAGCACAAACGCGAGGTCGAGCGGCTCATCGAGGAGCGTCGCCAGATGTACGAGGAGGAGAAGGAGGTGATGTACTCTGGTGGTTCGAGGGCGGAGGTTAAAAACGATGTCGCAGGCGGAGCTGGAGGAGCAGAAAGAAGAGGAGAGAAGAGCCCAGGTGAGGGCGATGCTTGTCTTGTCCTGCCATCGAGTGACTTGCTGCAGGCCCTGCGGGAGCTCATCGAACAAGAGCGTCAGCGCATCTTGCGGGAAGCAGCAGGGAAGCTCGGGCTGGAGTACATGCCGAGGTGAGTGCATGGGAAGGGACGAGGAGGGAGAAGGGATGACGATCGGCGTGACAGAGGCGTACTGGCGTCCAAAGAAGATCTCGAGATGTTCAAAGCGGCTCAGCATGCCAACAAGTTCAGATGAGAAGGATGACGGGAGAGCCCTTGGCTGGGATACCATTACATCTGTATTCTTTCACCTCCACTCATGATACTTTTCTTGCTGTCCGTCTCCCCGTCGTTAACATCTGGTAGCGTCGAATCAGCACCAGGACACGAGCCCAGTCTTGTAGAGCCCGGCGAGGGGATCGCACTTCTTCTTCGTCTTCTTCATCTGCGAAGGCATGGTCAACAAGAGCGAAGGAGAAGTTGAGGAGACGACATGGAGGGAAGAGACTGGAGGCTTCTTGTGCTCGTTGAGAACTCCATCCAAAGCGCTGCTCATGGAGTGCTTCACAGCACTGCGAAGGTCTGCCCCTTTCTCCTCCCCCTCCGGCTCCTCGTCCTGCTCATCTTCAGGCTTGTTGCGGGTGTGGTGCTGCTTGAGGGCGAGGAGCTTCTTCTTCAAGGCTGCCTTGCTCTTCTCGTACTTGAGGATGTCTCTGGGCTTCAGCTCTCGCTTCAGCTCAACGTCCACGTCCTGCTTCAAGTGCGAGAGCAGTCCGTCCTTGATCTTGGTCGACAGCTTCTGCGCGATTTCCTTCTGCTCCTCCTCCATCTTGTTCCTCTGCCTGCGCAGGATGCGAATCTTCTGCTGCTGCTCGCGCAGCACCTCCTTGAGAGGCTTCATCGTGCGCAGGAGCGCGGAAGCCACTCGTCGGCTCACTTGATCTTCGACTCTCCGTACGAAGGACGCCTGAGTCATGCCATGCAGACCGAGTCTGTCCTGCCCCCCTCGCCCCCCGCTCTCCCTCCCCCGGCTTGTGCTTGGTGACACGTCAGAGGGGGAGGGTCCAGGCAAGCCGGAAGTACTAGGAGCAGAGAGAGATAAGAGGCTCGACAAGTAAGAGAGGAGGGGCAGCACCTGCTCATGCCAGGCACCGGCTGCCTGGTGTTGAACATCTCTTGTACTTTGTCTAGCTGTGCCTCCACACTGCAAGCGACTTCAATGCCTTCTCATCCTCTTCTGCCTCGTTCTCCTCTTTCTGTTTCTTTTTACCTGCTCGTCGTGGGAGCACTCGAGCTTTGTTTCTGCTTCAGAACGACGACATCTCCTCCATGTTGCCATGCCTGGGCATGTCTCACAATTGAGGTCTCATCCACCAAGCCATCGAGATGGCAGGAACTTACTGCCAGGAGCATGATCCCTCCACAAACAGCCACGATGGCGGCGAGAAATCGAGCAAACGCTGACATCTCGCTGACTGCCTTCAAGTTTTACCCGTCAAAATCTGATACAAGAGTCAAACCAAGACAAGAACCTCCTCCCCTCCTCCACTGCAGCTTACCCACCGCCGCCTTGCCCTTCTCTCTTCTCCCGTTTCCTCAGCTCTTCTCTGCTCTGCTCTGCTCTGCTCTACTCTGCTCTGCTCTGCTCTTCTCTTCTCTGCTCTGCTCTGCTCTTCTCTTCTCTTCTCTTCTCTTCTCAGCTCTTCTCTGCTCTGCTCTGCTCAGCTCAGCTCTGCTCTGCTCTGCTCTGCTCTGCTCTGCTCTGCTCTGCTCTGCTCTGTTCTTCTCTGCTCTGCTCTGCTCTGCTCAGCTCAGCTCAGCTCAGCTCAGCTCAGCTCAGCTCAGCTCTGCTCTGCTCTGCTATGCTGCTCTGCTCTGCTGCTCTGCTCTGCTCTGCTCTGCTCTGCTCTGCTCTGCTCTGCTCTGCTCTGCTCTGCTCTGCTCTGCTCTGCTCTGCTCTGCTCTGCTCTGCTCTGCTCTGCTATGCTGCTCTGCTCTGCTCTGCTCTGCTTTCTCATTTTCCTTCACCTTGCTGTCTGCATGACGCGGCCGTTCATCCTCGCCCTCATCCCCGCACCTTCACTGTGGGGTGGTAATAGCGGGGACGAGGGCAAGCGAATCTCCCACCAAATGGCCTGGACGATTCAATTGCGATGGCCGGGAGGTCAAGCGACGCGTGAGGTGAGAGGAGGAGAGTAGGAGGAGGAAGGAGATGTAGAAGATGCGGGAGATGTAGAAGATGTAGGAGGAAGAGCTGTAGCCGACGACGAGGAGGGAAGGACAGGCGTGGAGTAAGGTTTGTTCGAGTATGGAGTTGGGATTCGAAGGATAGAACACAAATACTTCAGTTCATGAGAGATCCTCCTGACATCATGGCAGCTGGAAGCAGGAGGAGAGACTCCTGTCAAGTCTTTGAGAGCTCTATGCAGCCAAGTAGCGGGAGTAAGATCGCTTGCCCCCTCCCGCTCGCTGACGAACCCCCGCAGATCTGCGAGGGCGAGCTGATCATCAAGGCGGGGTATCCTCCTCGCAAAGTCTCCGAGGCAAGCAGCGCGTGCAATGAGGAGGGAGGAAGAAACGCGGAGGTCTCGACCTGCTCTGCGCTCTTCAGTCTGAAGATGCAGCAGGAATTGAGCATCGAGGCAGTAGGAATCGTGAACAAGGACTCGTTGATTGTTGACCGACAAGCGTCTGAGAACAAGTTGACTGAAGGCAAGCAAGCACCTAAGGCTAGAGGCGAAGGAAAGAAGAGGAAGCAGCTTGAACCGCAGGTGCTCTCCTCCCAGCACGTGAGTTTGGACTCATCAGGAGCAGGAGCAGGAAGAGAGCAATGAGAGCGAAGTCTATCAGACGAGGAGCGGCAGGAGAACGACGTGCACGAGGTCTCCTCGCCTCCTCCATGTCGATGCGTCTCACTTGCTGGTCACACCTAGCGAGCGAATGGCGCAGCATATGAAGGAGATGAAGGAGCGTGAGGAAAAGCCAACCCCCCCGCGCAAGTGGGAGCAGGTGGGGAGGGTCGATGAGAGTGCCCGCCTCACGGGGGAGCAGGGAGCCGCTTCGAATCCTCGCAAGCGCATGCCGGGCAAGGTGAAGAGGAAGAGCAGCTTGAACGCAGAGGCGTGAAGAGAGTGCAGGGACAACGACTGGACTCCTCCCTCGACTCCCCGACCCCTCAAGCCCCGGCAAGGCAAGAGCCTCAGGTGCCTCCTCCCCTCCCTGCCTCCCGTCCCTTCCCCCCGCTTCCTGCCTTCTCTCCCTGCCTTCTCTCCCGTCCTCCCTCTCCCTTCCTTATCTTCCTTCCTCCTCCCGGATTAATCAGGAGCTCAGCGGTTCGAGTCTGAGAACGAGGCGATCATACGAGGTGCTTGACCCGCCGCTCCTCTCCTCCCCTCACCTCACCTGCAGCTTCCCGCCATAAGCATACTCCAGCTGACGGCGAGCTACTCGCGCTGGGAAGCGGTGGCTTCACCTTTGCTCTGGCGGTGGCTGAAAACGTCCTGGGCAGATGTCAACGAGACGGAAGCGGCTCAGACGGCCATGGCGGCAGAGCTGGTAGGAGGCGAAGGTTGAGATGGTCACGTGATGCTGTGAGGTCAGGTCAGCACGTTCGAGCCTGGGAAGAGCAAGAATCCCCTGCGAGTCTCACTGAAGAATGCGAGGGCTCAGCAGGGAGCGATTGAGATGGCGGCAGATAGGTGAGGGAGGAGGAGGAGGAGGAGGAGGAGGAGGAGGAGGAGGAGGAGACGGGCATCCAACTGTCTGTCGCAGGATCAAAGCTGTGCTGAAAGGGGACGTGAACTTCATCGAGAAACAAGTTGACGGCATGTCCGCCAGTCTGCCGTTTCTGACGTTGGAGCTCAGGTGGCCCTGACAGGGGGAGGAAGGACCGTGACGATCATCGAGGTCGAGGAGGCGGCGGGCGCATGTCGCTCATGGGCCTGCAGGTGCGATGGAAGCGAGACGAGCACGAGGAGAGTGAGAACATCCCCAACTGGAGCCGCGAGGTTGTTGAGGGTGCGAGTGTCGAGCTGCTGACCTGCAGCAGGTTATGACCTTCATGCTGCGGGCGCTGCTACAGGACGAGGACAGCACGACGCGGGTCAACATCAAACCGCACAACATGGGTCTGTGCCTCCTCCTCCTCCTCTGCCCTCAACGCTTGCCCGCAGCCTGTGTGTCCCCACGCGTCTTTTGGAACATCGTTCGCCATTGCAAGGTTATAAGTGCTTGCTGCCCCTCCCCCTCCCTCATCCTCCTCGCTTGCTTACCTGTTAGTCCAGGTCGGACCCAGCACCAGCTTCGAAGCTGCCTTCGCCTCCCTAGTCCCCGACGAGAAGTGGGACGTGATCCTATCGAGAAACCAGGTGAGGACAAGGTGCGAAGGGGCTGCTGGTGAACGAGGAGCAGGTGGAGCATCAGGAAGGCAAGTATCGCTTCTAGTGGAGGAGTGTTATCAAGGTAAACATCCATGAAAGACAACCCTGTACTGTATTATCAATTGAAACACGCGACGACATGTGGCGATCCTGATACTATCGAGTTTGTCAACAATGACATCCTCCTTGTGCCCGAGGGCCCAATCTTACTTGTTCCTCTCAGCCTGAACCATGGTGGAGGCGATGAGGTCGGGAGAGAACATTCCCGTGCTTCTGCGGAGCATGGGGTAGCTCGAGTTGGCCTCGAGAGTCTCAATGACGTTGGGGTACATGGACTGAATCATCGCCATCTTCTCTTCCATAGCAGTGAACCTCTGCTTCTCGAGGGACCAGAAGTCAGCCAACGCCTGCTGCTGCTGCTGAGAGTGGCGCAGCTCTTCTCTCAACCGCTTCACCTCCTCGTCCGTTGAGTCGTGGCCGTTGGTCATGCTCTGCGGCAAGTTGCCTTCCATCCCTCGCTTCTGAAGTTCAGCCAACTTCGCCTCGGCTTTTTCTTTGGCGATTTGCATCTTGAGGATATCTTGCGTCAGCTCTTCTCTCAGGGCTCGCAACTCCCTCCCCGAGTCTCTTCGCTGCGCGTCCAGGGCTACTGAGAGATGGTTCCGCATCTTGTCGAGAGCCTCGTGCATCATCGCCCTCTCCTGCTTGATGCGGGCATCTACTGGACCCTCCTGCTTCACAGCCGAGCTCAGCAGGCGAATTTGCGACTCCATCTGCAAGAGTTTCAGACGCTCCATCTCGAGCTCTCTGCGCAGCTGATTGCTCTCCCTCAAGCTGTCGGTCAAGCTGTCGGAGCTCATAGCCAACCTCTCCCTCATCTCCTCGTGGGCCGACGCGAGGGACTGCGCCCTTTCTCGCAGCATCGCACACTCATGCAGGAGACCTTCATTTTCTTTCTTCGACTGCTCAAGCGCCAAGGTCAGGTCGTCGTTCTTCCTTTCTTCGTGTTCGAGTCTACTCCTCAACGAAGACAGCGCTGCCTCCATGTGCGAATACTGCTCTCCCCTCCCTTCGGGTGTGGGAGATTTACGGTCTGGGGTCGTACTCTCTGAAGCAGGCAAAGACAACTCCTGGATGGTCTCTAGCCCGAACCCCCCGAGGGCCAACGATGAAGGGTTGCCTGCTCCGGGACCGAGGACGCTGATCTCGCTGAACTTCAACTTGAGCTCCTCCTTCTCCTTGGCGACATGCTCCAGCGCCTCCCTTGTGCTCTCTACCTCCTCCTCCAAGTGCCGGCACGTGCCGCGGACTTGAATATTCTCCAGTGCTAGCTGGTTGATTCTGTCTTGAAGCTGCTCCACGATGCTCCTGTCGTTGGGATCCTTCACGTAGGCGTTCAACGCTGCTCGCATCTGCAGCTCGCTCTCCACCGATTCAGCCCGGCTCTGCTCCACCTGCTTGAGCTTCTCCTCGAGATTCAACACCTCCTCTCTCCGTGCTGCTAGCGCGTTGCTCGCCTTTGATAGAGCGCTCTCAATCTCCTCTACTTTTATCTGCTCCGCATCTGCTCCGCCAGCGCACACGGCCAGCCTGCCCTCGAGCTCTGCATTCCTGGCTCTAATCTCTTCATTCTCAAAGAGCGCAGCACGCAGAGCCTTGGTGGTAGCGTCTATGATGCCTGTCAAGTCAGATGACGATCGCTTGTCCTTGAAGTCGTGCAGCTTGTCCATTGTGTTCGACCACGAGGGGGGCACAGGGTTGGGAGACTCTTCTGAGACGTCTTGCAGATCTAGTTGGTCGTGTGGAGGATGCGGCATGGCCGGAGGTGGACGCGATGAGGAAGAAGGAAGCAACGAGGAGGAGGAGGAGGAGGAGGAGGAGGCGAGCTGTTTGTTGTTGTGATCGAACAACGAGTGACAAGTCGCTGGAAGCATTGAAACGGCGAACTTGACCTTTTTTTTTGGATGGGGGTATGTGGGTCCGGAGGTACCGGTCATATGCACCTAAATTTACTGATGAAGGGGTGGGTACTGGTTGGGGAATGGAGTACAGGGTACTTGATGTACTCGAATGGGGTATTCATCAGTATTCTCAGGGGGGTACTCATAACACCGGTGTCTTTTCCCAAGAAAATATGCTAAATGTCCAGGTGGGTCCTTATTGAATTGCAGGGGTACGATAAAATCGGCATGGGTGGGGGTACTTTGATACCTATTTAGTACCCCTTATTTTCATATTAGTTGGTAGGGGTCTTTATGAAAATTGATGGTAAGAGCTCCCGATTAAAGGTGACGGGTGGGTGGGGTGGGTTTCAGCGGCTCTTCGCTGGGATGGCGAACTACGGGGCAGTAGGTGAGTGAGAATGGCGGGAGAGAAGGAGAAGAGAGGGAGAAGAAGTCAAGTCATGCCATGTTTGAACATAGTTCCATCCCTTCTTGCTCTCTTCTAATGCCTCCTCCTCCTTGTTTCGTTTGTTTCATCCCCTTACCCGTGATGTGCAAAAACTGTACGTTCGACGCTGCAGACAAATGAGCACATTGCTGCTGTTATGTTCGACATCTGATCTTGATTCTCTCACAAGAAGCTTCACATTCCTCAAATCCTTCCTGAGATAGGCGTAGATATTTGTCTGTGTCTCTCCTGCCGTAGCTTGTTTCTTGAGGATCGTGGGGTACAAGTCGACTGCCGACGCCTTCCAAGTCTTGTACCTCTGACGGAGCTCGCAGGGTCCATCCAGGGACTCAGCCCGTTCAAGAAGACCCGCAAGTTGGCCGCATGGCAGGTCCTGGGCGTTGCAGCCCTTGCACTGTGTGTGCTCGCGTTGGCAGTTGTTTCCACGCATGGCACGCGCAAGTCAGTCCTGCTGTCTAGGAGCAAGGCGCAGTATGCTGCTGCAAGGATGGGATTCATCCCCCGAGCAAGGTTCGTGATGACCAAGCAGCAGTTCCGAAAGATCCTACTGGCAGAGGAAGAGAGGTCCGTGATCCAGATCTGCGGTTCGAGTGTCTGCAAGGCCAAGGAGGGCTGTAACCAGGAGTCCTTCAAGAAGTGTGTCGCGATGAAGCCAGAGGACAGGAAGAAGTTTGTGGCCCAGCAGCTGCCCAAGCTCAACCTCATGGAGGGCCCACTTGCTGACCTCCCCGAAGAGGCAAACCTCGAGATGGGCGAGCTCGGAAACCTCCCGGAGGACACCACTGCTGCTCAGTGTGGGACTGGCGCATGCACTGCAGAGGGATGCGATGACAGCACCTTCTTCGCTTGCTTCAAGCAGCTGGAGCAGAGAAAGATGGAATTCGTGAAATCAAACCCCCAGCTCGCCAAGCACATGGCTGAGTTTGTGAAGAAAGAGGCAGCTCAGAAGGCTCTCGTTAAGGGCCAGCAGGCTTCGGCGTCTAAGGTCTCCTTTACTCATGCTACGATGCGAATGTGACCAGTGTGGTCAGAACGTGGAGAAGATGCCTTTCAGCAGCGATCAGGAGCCCCCTGTCATGGGAACACACTACATGACCGCCAATTGGGTCAACCAGCAGGTCGTTGGCTGTCGCTTTGGCAAGCTCGCTGATGGTTCGTAGGCCAAGGGAAAGCAGTCAAGATTGAGATCCGCGTTCCGCATGTCAAAGTTGAACCTCCACGAGGGTCCGTTGGCAGACCTTCCGGATGAGGTAGTAGGCTCTCTGTTTGTGCTCCGATTGATTCCAGTGCTTTAGCCGAATGTGATGATCGGAGAGCTGGGAAGTTTGCCTGGTGGGTTGACAGATTCGGAATTGGATCCTTGTCTTCATCCCTTCCTTCCTCCATCCCTTCCTTCACGCACCTCGTTGATGCCGTTGATGCAGATGAACCGAACATCATGATCGGGGAGCTCGGTGGCTTGCCAGATGAGGTACAAGTTGGTGTTTTACAAACAAGGAGAAAGAGAGATGAAATTCTAATGCGATTGATACAGCCGAACCTGATGGAGGGAGAGCTCAGCACCCTTCCGGATGAGGTAAGAGACGAGGGAGAGGAAGGAGGAGATAGGGGAAAGCATACAAGAACAGGGGAAGGAGGGGACTAGAGAAGGGAGAGGGATCGTATGGGACATAAATCTAACGGCATTGGGCAGCCGAACCTGATGGAGGGAGAGCTCAGCACCCTTCCTGACGAGGTAGGGGAGGAAGCGAAGGAGAAGATGCAGAGGAGAGGAGAGGAGAGGAGGGAGAGGAGGAGAGGAGGAGACGGAGAGGAGCTGACGGCACTGGACAGCCGAACCTGATGGAGGGAGAGCTCAGCACTCTGCCTGACGAGGTAGGGGAGAAGAAGAGATGGAGAGGAAGAGGAGAGTGATGGCGTTTGCCAGCCGAACTTGATGATTGGCGAGCTTGGAACGCTTCCTGACGAGGTAGGGGAGGAGGAAGTGACTGAAAGGAGGCTGCCATCTGATGCTGCGTGACAGCCGAACCTGATGATCGGAGAGCTTGGAACGCTTCCCGACGAGGTGAGCGAGCAAGGAAGAGAAGGGGGGAGGAGGATGCTTATACGCCGGTCAGCCGAACTTGATGATCGGAGAGCTTGGAACGCTTCCGGATGAGGTAGGGGAGGAAGAGGAGACGGAGAGGAGGAGAGGAAGAGAAGAGACAAGCTGACGGGACTGGACAGCCGAACCTGATGGAGGGAGAGCTCAGCACCCTTCCGGACGAGGTAAGAGACGAGGGAGAGAGGGCTAGAGAAGGGAGAGGGAACGTAACGGACAGAAGCCTGACTGGAATGGGCAGCCGAACTTGATGATCGGAGAGCTTGGAACGCTTCCGGATGAGGTAGGGGAGGAGGCAGAGGAGGGGGGAGGAGGATGCTTATACGCTGGTCAGCCGAACCTGATGGAGGGAGAGCTCAGCACTCTGCCTGACGAGGTAGGGGAGAAAGAGGGAAATGGGAGGAGGGAGAGGAGGAGAGGAAGAGAAGATAGAAGCTGATGGGGCTGGACAGCCGAACCTGATGATCGGAGAGCTTGGAACCCTTCCAGACGAGGTAAGAGAGGAGATGGAGAGGAAGAGGAGAGTGACGGCATTTGCCAGCCGAACTTGATGATCGGAGAGCTTGGAACGCTTCCTGACGAGGTAGGGGAGGAGGCAGAGAGGGCTAGAGCATGAGGAGAGCGATTGTATGGGACAGAAGTCTGACGGGAATGGGCAGCCGAACTTGATGATCGGAGAGCTTGGAACGCTCCCCGACGAGGTGAGCAAGCAAGGAAGAGAAGGGAGGAGGAGGATGCTTATACGCTGGTCAGCCGAACTTGATGATCGGAGAGCTTGGAACGCTTCCGGATGAGGTAGG